TTAGTTGTGTGTGTGTGTGTGTGTGTGTGTGTGTGTGTGTGTGTGTGTATATATATATAACTCAGCTATGCAAATTATCAGTTGTTTTCAAGGGTAAGTTCATCACTAGTTTCTGTATTACTGACCTTGCTATCTTTTGTGTCTTATTTAAAAGAACATTAATATGCAGAGCAACTGAGCTGTTTCAAAAAGCTCTTTGGAGACAAAAAATGGTCCTGGGAGGAGACTGAAGAGGAGGGAAGGGAACAGAGTGGGAGTGAAATGACTGAGATGATATATTTTTCTATGTCTGTGCCTTCAAATGTATGAGACCTCACTCTGAACCAGGAAAACGAGCTGTAATTCTTTCCATGGCCATGTCATCTGACTGGAATACCAAGGGAAACTTTAATCTCCCTTTCTGCTCTATTTTATCTGCCATGTTACATACATAGGACATCCATAATTTTGCAGATTGTTTTTATTTCCTCCTACCACATTGCTAGCTCTCTCTTGCATCAAATGCAGTTAGTAACCCCTGTGCCTGATAGCGACTTTTTATCAAATGTAATGATAGTCAAAAGTGACAAAGCATGGACAGTAAGAATCACTGATACTTCTGATTCTTCCAAAGGAACCTTTGGAAGAATCAAGACTGTCCACTGGACCATAATACTAAAGGAAATAGGCAATACAGCAGTAGACATCTATGAAGAGCTATTGGACCTGGCTAAAAATAATTCAAATGAGTCTGTTAAACAGAAAGAAACTTTGGGTGTCTACACTTTGAGCTGGAGGTATAATTTCCAGCTCCAGTAGACATACCTGCATTAGCTCTGATCAAGCTCATGCACTAAGAACAGAACTGTAGCCCCCAGGGCAGGAGGTACTACCCATCCAAGATGCAATCCCATCCGAGACACTAGGCAGGTACTTGAGGCGTCTAACCCCTCCCTCTGCTAGCACTGCTGCAGAAACACTTATTTTTAGAGCACTAACTCAATCATGGTTAGCATAGGTATGCCTCCTGGAGCTGGGAATTACACCTCCAACTCAAAGTGTAGACATGATCTCAGTCAGTCAGAACCCAGATCGATACATAAATAAATACTTTCACTTTTTCCCTCATAGTTTCCTCAAGATTGCTCTACTTTACTCCTGGTTAGCAACTATTGCGTGGAACAAGGATTAGGGCTGTTTAGTTTACAGAAGAGAAAAATAATGAATGGTACAGAGAAAGTAAATCAGACACTCCGTTTTATCTTTTCTCGTAGTGCAAGCGCAAGGGGACTTCTAATTAAACTGAAATTTATATGGATAATGAGAAAATACACAGTTACATTAGACAACATAAAAATATAAAGGCTATAAAACCCCAGGCCTTGCAACACCAGCCAACCTGTAGGGAATAACTTCCCCCTGTGGGTCAGATATCACATAAGTGTCCACTACAGTGATGAAGCTTTTGGCAGTGGCTGCGGTCAGAGACAGACTAATGCACTAGACCAAATACTAGTCTGATCTGGCATAGCAATTCCTATGCTCCAGGACAAGAATCACATTAGCCAATAAGCAAGCCCGAGAAATTAGCCAATAACCAAACCAGAAAAATTATCATGATTCCCTCACAAGTCTCACAGAATCTCTATTAGACCAATCAGACCTTTCTTTTAAATACTGCCTACTTAGCTAGCTTAGGCATTGCTATTGCACGTATCACAGTGATGTCTGAGTATTGAATATAGTAATTTAATTTGCATGGCATTGTCCGTGGTATTTGCATGGCACAAGCCCTGCCTTTGGTCCTTTATTCAATATTCCAGAGCATCAGGTCCTAAATTAACAAAGATCACCCATGTATCTGAGGGCAGAATTAGGCCCATAATCTTTTAACACCAGAAAAATTAGTAAACTCACCTTTTTTTCCTGTGGCTAGCAAGAGGTTCAGAGTCTAAGTAAGGAATGCCTTTCAACTTCAGTAAGGAGCTATACAGGGACATGTTAAACCAGTCACCGACCATCTTGGCCACCATGACAGCCAGCATCACAAGTAGCAAGGACTGTACATCGTTTGTGATCTCTACCTGAAAAGGAGAATGAGGAACTTTCCGTTACTTTATTGACATATTTGGAGAGAACAGTGGTAGCAATGGCTGTGATGCATATCCAGTGGGAATTGGAACAAGACCACCAACTCCTTAACATAATACAGGGGTTAAGGTAAAAGGAAGCAGGGAGGGGCACTACTTTTCCCTGCTGAAAGTCGAAGTGAACTCCTCATCCTTTAACAACTGCACTTATATTTAAAATACATTTGACTCCTAGATTTCAAGTGGCTTGTGACAATCTCTCTCATTGGGCCAGAATAAGGAGAGAAGGAGTAACTAGATTTGTAATGCCTTGCCACTGTGACAAATACTTTCAAAGAAAAACAAACAAATCAAATTAATAATTTTCCTTTCTTGCTGGGTTCACGATAGATTAGGCAGACAGACCGTTTCCCACCAATTCTCCTTCCTGACAGAGCAAGCTCCTTGTACAGGCTGCCTTGGGTGGACATCGTTCTAGAGGATGCTGGAGAAGGAAACAAGAAGCCCAGGTTCAAGTCACACAAAACCTGAGGAGGAAGAACACTAGCAGTGTGACACTATTACAGCTACAAATATTGCATTGGATTCCCCATGATTAGGCACGCTTCTCTGGCTGTTCTTTCCTAGCAAAACAGCACCCTGCTCCTCATTCTCCCCAACCTCAGGGCTGACAATTGCAGACTAGACTGTAGATGTGTGATATATGTGTTTTCAGTGTGTTATCATAAAATAGTCTAAAATCTAGTAAGAATAAACTGAAGGTAATCACTCTCCCTTTCTTTCTAAACACTAACTACTTTTCACTATACAAGACGACACTCTTGGTTACAGGACAGCAGTGCAGCATCATAAAAAAAGTGACATGGATGAAACCAATACAATTTATGCCTAACTGACAACTGAGCCGTTAACAAATATTTATGCTGGCTAAGATAATAGTGCAGCATTATTCCATTGCAAATTTTCTTTTTAAAACATTTGCTTCCTAACAGTAATTTTTATCCAGTCTCCATATTCTCCAACTGACCATTATTTCCCCTGCACTTACATTCTAAAAATATGTTTTTCATTTATTTTCCATTCAAACTTCCTTCCCAGTGTGCTGCAAGACAGACAGACGCACATACGCAAAGACCTTACTTCATTTTTAGATAAAGTAAATTATAGCATAATAGTATGTGTTAAACTGCAATATCAGCTAGAGAATAATAAGGACCCCCCAAAAAATATATGTTCAAAGAATGTCAGTATGCCTGCCTGATAAATTGGTAGCCTTAGCACATTCGCCCGATGATTACACTCTCATCCCTATCCTGCCCTTGTTTCTGTGTTCCAAATCATAACATCAAGGGTGATTTAAAGACCACGAAAAGGGCTTTGTGTGGTATGTGTGACCTTCTACGACTGGGTCATGTGACTGTCCTTTCTGTTTGGACATACTTAATGACATCTAATAACTTTGCAGCATTCTTTGAATGGCTTCATAAGCCTAGAACCCAACTGCTTTATTTTTAAAACACCAGTAAAATGTCATTTAAAAGAAAAACAGCAACTGAGGGATTTTAAAAATTCCGTCATCATATGTGCCACAACTCACTCATTTGGAAGGAGACTCCATTGTGGATTTCATTTAAAAAGCATCTTGCTATTCTCCCTTATGGAAAAACTTTTATAGAATTAATAGGCATAAAATCAATAGGATTCTATAGAAACTATTTTAAAAAGCAATGAAGAATGGTATTGTTCCTATAGAAGTCTTAAGTCATCATATAGAATTTAACAGAGCATTACATTATAGCATTCTCTACACTGGTTTATAATTCTATAGAAAGATCATTATTTCTACTAAATTCTAAAGAACTTCTCATGAAGGACAGATGAAGAATTTTGCTAAGTGTTTCAGTTACACATTTACAATCTTTACAAAATTTTAGCCTGCAATGGTCATGGACAATCTTGTCTGTCTCACATGTAAGCATGTTTTTGGTTCTTGCATTGGTCTGAACTCACATACACGTTCTTCTTCAGTGTTTGTTGAATCCTCATACGTCAACATCAACACGAGATTCCATCATCTATAATCTTCTTCAGAATATGTTGAGATCTCATTCATTAAATTGCCTAGATCTTAACAGTCCTGCTTTATAATCAATATTAAGATTTCTATGTTCACTAGTTTTTAATCCCTTCTTCGGTTCTATTTCAACCTATGTGCTTCCTCCTTTCTTTCAGTTGCAGATGGCAGACTGTTCAACATACAGCAGACAAGATATGCACTGAAATAGGCAAAAGGTATTTGCAATAATGGGCCATAGCTTCAAAGTGCAGATGCAATCTGAAATTTCCCAGAGTTTTGGGGTGTTGTGATCCAGGGGTTTGGTTCAGGTCCTTCTCTATAATGGTGCATTGCAAATATTGAATGCTCCATCCAGAGGGAGTAACAATAGCCATTGTGTGTAACATTAGCCACTGGAGTCCGTGAATTCTAACTACTGTTGTGCAACAAAGATATTAATTTTGATAAGACAGGCCTATGTCAGATGGCTGGGGCCAATTAATAAAGACAGGTCAGTAACCAGAACTCTTGCATGTCACATCTTTATTACATGGGGGAAGACAAACTAAATCTCTGGCAAAAATAGAGCAAATGAAGTTCCCCTGAATCTTCATTAGATAAGGGAACTGAAGGAGATGATTATAGTGCTTTGAAATTTTCCTGGAAGCAAGTGGTACTGAAGCTAAAATGGGGAAGGCAAAAATATCAGAGGCCTTGGGAACCATAGTACATTCAAAGTGGGAATATGAAGGGGAGAGCAAACTGCTAAACAAAATAATTCATAAATGTCAAGGAAACTTTGATCTGTGCAAGAATGTCACTTGATATAGGCACTTTTTCTTTTTTAACAAACCAGATGCCAAGACCATTGATCCTTACCTTAAAGGCCTGATAGTCACACGAATTTGAATAGTTAACATATAGACCAATTAGAGAACAAATTATTTTTGGTTATTGGCACAAGCAATAACCGGTTTAAAGTACATTTGTCACAAAAAATGGTCTTGGCTTCAGAGGGCTAAAGAAGATTGAGCTTCCCAAATGATACTGTTAGCAAGCAGTAGGCAGGGGCGGCTCTATATATTTTGCTGCCCCAAGCACGGCAGACAGGCGGCTTTCGGCGGCATGCCTGCGGGAGATCCGCTGGTCCCGCGCCTTCGGCATACCCACCGCCGAATTGCCGCTGAAGTCTCGGGACCGGCGGACCTCCCACAGGCATGCCGCCGAAGGCAGCCTGATTGCCATCCTCATGGTGACTGGCAGGCCGCACCCCGCGGCTTGCCGCCCCAGGCACGTGCTGGAGCAGCCCCTGGCAGTAGGGTGACTGTATTTCCCTATGCTGAATATGAGACACCTGGTAAAATTACTCATATTCAAGCGAGTTCAACGGCAATCAATCAGAACTAAACAGTACAAACATTAAAATTACCATCAAGTTGACTGAGCCCCTGTTAAAAAGAAATACTATGTAGTTGGATTCTTTTTATTTATCTTCTTGTCTTCAAGGCTTTAGGGTTCACATGGAGAGACACACACACACCCTATCCCCACACACACACACACACACACACACACACACACCTCCCGTACCACCCTCCC